ATATATATATATATATATATATATATACATACACATATATATACACACATACACATACATACAGTATATATATATATATATATATATATATATACACACACACACACACACACACACACATACATACATACAGTATAAAACAACTTTAACTCAATCTGTGAATATATATATATATATACACACATACACACACACACACACACATACATACATACAGTATGCAGCTAGAATTATGCCTTTTTCAGAATACTGTATAGTTTTGTCATTTTAATATACATTTCTTTATTTTAATATATCATTTTATGTATGTATACAGTACACACTACACATCAATCTCCTCTGTTTATACGTAAAAACACATCCAAGTTCATTTGCAGAAGCAGGTCAAAGACTTTCACTGTGTGAAATATTAATAATAAAAATCTTACCTGTAACATCTCCGTTTCTCTTTTCTTCGACCTTTGATTTGGTGCATGCGGACACCAGGATGTATGTTGTTTTTGAGGTTAGCTGTCGTCTCAAATCTGTGTAACGTTACTCTCCCCAAGTACGTACTACGACATTCCTGAAATGGCCAAGAAGAATTACAAAAGCAGGCTATATCTAAACCTGCACATTGTCACGTGACGTTATTTAAATCTATTTACCTTCCTGGAGAATTACAGAAAATCACTTTTCCCTCGCTAGACTGGCTCTCATCGATGAACACGCAGCTGTTCTCCTGATCCCACTCTTCACGACTCTGCAGCCCGCGCGACTCGTCTCGACAGTGAATCCGCGAGGAGGGCTGTTCAAGCTCGATAACGTCCATTACAAAGCCCGAATTCATGCTTTCGCGCATTTTCATTCTTTTGTAACTTCTAGTCGTTTTACATCATGGTAAATGTAGTAATTTAGTACATCTTTCCTTTCAGTCACATTAAAAGTAAGTTAAGCTCCAGCAGTGCAATAGCGTTTCCCTGAGGGAACTCTTACTTTCGGATTATTCAAGTCGCTAACAGCTTTAATTGGTCTTAAAATGGTTTGCAGACTACCAGGCTGATCTATGGATGGTTTTAGGAAGGTTTTGGGTGATTTTTAGGCTGGAATACCCAGTTTGGCCAAGCTGGGACCCTCAACAAACTAGCTGATTTCCGTAACTTGAATACATGTATATAAACCTCTAAAGATGAATGTGATTGTAGTTTTGATAGTTGTTTTAAATTAGTTGTAGAGTCAGTTTTACATTAGCCATAAAATACCCCATATTTTTCTATTTATTACAGAATTATTTTCCACTTACTCAAGGCAGGCAGGGATGGTAGCTGGATTTGAACAATTTCATGCTGTTCCAAATCCAGAACTGGTTTAAGTGGTTAAACACACTACAAGAGCGAAAGGAATGGTAAGCCATGCTGTTTGTGACCTGGTTAACCACAACACAGCTTGAACTGATTGACCTAATTTTAGACTGTCATATGACCTGACGTTCCAGTAAAGTATAAAAATATAAAAAAGTTGTTGCAGTGATGTTGTGATGTTTCGTACTTTTCTGTTTTTATATTCATTATCTTGGTTTCAACTAAAAATTCCAGTTGGCCAGATCACGACATCTAAACCAAGTGATGGTTAATACATTTGAACCTACCCTCAACATTTAAATAAATGCTGTTCTTTTGGTCATCCTATTTATCAAGGAATCCTGAAAAAAATGGATCAGTTTCCACAAAAATATGCAGCAGCACAACTGTTTTCAATATTGATAATAATATGAAATGCTTCATCAGCAGCAAATGAATACTTGAGCACGAAATCAGCATATTAGAATGGTTTCTGAAAGATCATGTGACTAAAGATCGGAGTAATGACTGATGAAAAATCAGCTTTGCATCACAGCAATAAATTACATTTTTAAATAGAAAACAGTTATTGTAATAGTATTTTACAATATCACTGTTTTTACCCTATTTTTGATTTTAAAAAATGCAGCCTTGAGCATGCGATTTCTTTCAAAAACATTAAAATTGCAGACGGCAAACTCTTGAATAGTAGTGTATACATATGCAGACATCTATAATAAATGACATTCAGTCATAAAATAAGATCGAAAGCCGACGCAACAACACTTTTAAAAACGATGCATGAACGTGAACATCAAAAATCAAATTCAAACGCAAACCAGACAAGTAACAAAGAGAAGTAAAAAAATTTATTGCAGTATTTGCTCCTCCACACATGCTGGGGGTCCCTCGTCCCGCTGTGGGGTGTAGAGACCCAAACGCTGACCCAATACATCAAAATCTACATTTACAAAAAAAAACTCCCTTCCATGTAGGCGAAAGATACTGCATGCTCTGCTTTCAACTGAATAAATTATGTCCAGGAGACTCCATTTTACAGCACAAAAGAAGTAAAACATAAAGCAGAGGAGATGTTTAAAAGTTTATTTCCCTGGAAACTGAGCTAAGCTAAAGAAATCCATCCGGTGCTAGGTTAAACTCCAAGGTCACTTTATTAAGAACATCAACAGACTAATTTCCAACATTCACTTTAGGTTTATTTCTTTGAACAGATTTTTTTTTTTTTCGTCAGAGATATAAACATTTTTTGTTTCCGTTTTGTGTTAAACTATGATACAGTGGAGGGGGAAAAAATTCAAACAACCAAGTTGCTGCACAACAGCGAAGGAGCTCCGTTTCTTTCTTTTCCGTTTAACTTAAAAGATGTACAGGATTCACATCTACATTTCCAAACAGACCACACTTTTAAAATCGTCGTTCCTTAATTCGGCCAGTTCCGCGTTGGATCTTAAAACCTGTGAGTCTGTAGTTCTCTCCGACTTATGTTTACAAAACGTTAAATCCTGATGAAATTTGGCGGCTGAGAGTTTGTTGGGTGTAACAGTTCGAGAGTTAATTAGCTGGAAGTTCCTTCCTTGGCTGCGTACAGTGAACGTAAAGTCTGCACTACTTTGTTGGTCAGTTTGTGCGCACTTGTCAAGGCAATTTTCTTGTAAATAATGTCAGACTCCTTTATAGTGTCCACCCAAGGCACCAGTTTACGTCCGTTGCGTTTCTTGGCCTCCGCCCAGGTGCCGGAGTACGACCCGGCCATCCAGCGAATGCTGTAGCCTGTGCTTGTCTTATGAATAACACGCGCTATCTGCGGCCGGTCCTTATACTTGGGGCAGCAGATAGCGATGACGTCCATGGCTTCTAAAGTTTCGTTCATGTGACCTGATGCCTCTGCGGAATCTCCGCCTCTCCTGGATTTCCGTGACGACTAGAAGAGAACAAACACATGGTGTTTTCAAGTGACAGTAACGCAAGACATCAAGAGCCGAATGAAAACGTCAGCATCTGGGCTTTCTTACCCCAGGAGCCTTTTCGTCCGCATCGCTGTCGTCATCGTACGAGTCGGCAGCATTATTCTTGGGGCTGGAGCCTCCTAGTAGAGCAGTGATAGCTTTATTTCTGGCGTGGATACTGGCTGAAGCCTCCCCTTCCTCCTCTTCCTCATCTGGGTCCAAGTGCTCCATCAGAACCTTAAACTGTGGAATAAAACATTTAGAGATGGTCAGTTTGACTCATTTTTGTTAAACGGTACAAAACATTTTTTTTTTTGTAATATATAAATTCAAGACAATTCAATGAGTTCTGTCTCAAAAAATCTTCAAGTTCAAGTCTTTTTTTTCTTCCTACATTAAATGTCTATTAAATGACAGTCATTTTAGCATTATTTATATAGTATAATCTTTATTAATATTTTAAATGACCTTATTTTTTATATATTTTAATTGTAATAATTTTTTTAAATTGAAAAAAACTATTTAGCCTAATTTTTATAACTTAAATTTATTTCAAATATTTATATTTTATTTGAGCTTTATTTCAATTAAATTTTTTTTTTATTGTTGAGTATATAAAAATACATATTCATATTTTCATATTATGCACATATTAAACCATTAAATATATATTAAATCATTCTTCTTTGTCCTTTAATAAAAAAAATTAATTAATGATTATTAAATGAAAATTAAAAATGATGATATTATTATGCCCCGATTATTTGACTGGAAAAAGTAACAAATCAAACAAAACATGAAAAATGGATGGAAAAAAGAAATTAAATCTAAGTAATTTTCAAGCTATTTCAGAGCAAAAAAATTTAAAAAATAAAAGAAATATATATATACCATAATTAGAACGATTTCTGAAGAATCATGTGACACTGAAGACTGGAGTAAAGACTACTGAAAATTCAGCTTTGCTATCACAGGAATAATATAAAATATATATAAAAAATAAAAAAAATATATATATATATATATATATATATATATATATATATATATATATATATATAAAAACAGAGTTAAAAAAAATTATATTACAAAATGTAAATAAATTAAAAAATACAAAAAATGAACAGAAGAATAATTCGATTTCTTTTTACAACTCAGCCTTTCTAAACAGCACCGTATGAGGCAAAACACAAATAAAAAGTGAAAACCAGAATGTTTACATCTAAATACTGTCTGACGACTCTCCTCTTGACATCGTAAGTAAGATCTGCATTGGACAGGCTGTTCGTCAGGTAGTCTAGTGTCTGCCGTGGGTTGAAATGCACATTGGCCTTCCTGTTTACAGCCTTATCATAAACCTTTGCAGATTCTGTAGGTGAGTACTTCTGAATTTTACTGCAGGAAGAGACAAAGAGGCTTTTGTTATGAAGCCAGGGCCATGAACACATTACAACAGTCATTTCAGACCAGAATGCATTTGGACTAGCGATTAAAGCTCACCTGTCAGAGAAGCCGTAGAGGTTCTTAAGGTGCTGCTTGAGCATCAGGAGCAGCAAGATGCCCTGAGAGGCGTTGGCAAAGTCCAATAAGGGCTCAGGGTTGTCAGGTAGACGCAGCATGATCTTGTCCACATCCTCCAAGTTGAGGTCTGAATCTGAGTCAGAGTTCACTGCAGCGGATCGTCTGGGTTTCTTGGGCCGGCGGATGACTTCATTGCTGCTATCACTATCACTGCTGCTTCCTCTGCTACTTTCATTCTCAGAGCCATATTTTTTCCCTCTTTTTTTCTTCTTTTCCCGTGGTCTAGGCTCTTTTAGCAAAGACTGCAATACAAGACAAGATTATTAGAAAAAGTAATGTCAGCTCTCACAAAAAAGGTACAAAAAGGACCCAAAAAAATTAAAGGTGATGCAACCCTTGTTACCACAATGTAAATACATTTTAAAACCTGTGATATTACTGTTAACAAAAACTAACACTATCTATTAAAAAAACATATTTGTTAATTACAATAAAGCTCAAATAAAACAAAAAATATAAATATCATATGAAAAACTAATATATATATATATATATATA